GGCTGATCCGGGATCATCACATTTTACATTCTCCGATTGGCTAATTTCCCTTTTTGGATTTGTATCACTCGCACAAATAAGTACACGCTGTATAATCTATAGCTGATACGTAGTGTAAATTATAATTCTATATAGTTATAAATAAGCAATAAACTTTCAATTCATATATATAAATTAAAATCAAAATCTAAATTTGATAAACAAATATATTACAATGTATTTTGTTTTTTTAAAGTGTATGATCCTAGAAAGAATTTGAATAATTAACACTACAACTGGTTTTAAATTCATTATCACATGAAAGCTTGAGTTTGTTAAACAAGATGTACGTATGAATTCAATTAAATAAGATTATATTTTCATGCATACGATTAATATTTGTATGATGTAATTTAATTAAAATGACCTTATTTGAGTTGTAGCTTTGTCATCATTCCGCAAAATAAACTTGATTTCAAGTTGTAGAAAATTACATAATTTCCAAGTGAAAAAATATCTCATCTCGCGGGTAACGAAATACAAATTACAAGGGTTGTTCTCGTTTAAGGGACCCTTGCATGTGGGTTATTTTAACATATGATAACAAGTTCAGCCATGAATGGATTATATAGAAACGCAACAGGTCAATAATCAAACGGGAAATGGAAAAATCAAGGTGGCTTATTATAAAAGTGACTAGAAATATTTGGCAATACTAACAAGGAAAAGAAATGCGGGGATCTGTAGTGCAGTCTCATTTACCAAATTTGCTATTATAAGCATATGAAAGAACAGCTTTCCCCAATAACCTGTTTCCCTTTTTATTTTTAGAATGACTTTTATATATTTTTTATATTGCAATCATTATTTAATCATCACTCCGATTGATGCTCCGACCTTAACGGTTTTTAGACTTTTATGTGTGCGTTTCTTATAAAAAAATAAATGGGGCATTGAAATAAAAAGTTACGGTCATCAATTCAAAAACTTAATCAGATAAAGTATCACATATCAGCTGCTTGTTGTTACACATTCTACTTATATCTCATTGATTCGAATGATCAGTTATTTGTAAAAGTTCATTAACTGCTTATCACATATTAATCATATTAATTCAAAATCACCCCGCAACTGAGGACTGTTGTGGTACTCTCCGTTCAAGTATTCCAGCTTTAGCTCATAGTGATAGTAGATTCTAAATACCCCCCTTAGTATCGTGTGTATATTTCTAGATGAAATACCACTATCGCTTCTTCAAATTCATTTGTTAACAATTTTTTTTTTTCGTTTTGCTTTAAAGTTCGCCGTCGTACAATAAAATTTTTTAAAACAAACTTTCGCATTATTGTTTATGTTAAACCTTTCCTCTTTAAAAGTCTATCGCCTTTGTCTCACGTTTGTGAATAATAATTATGGATACAATACCACAATATTATCAAACTGATAATATGTCTATGAGTAAAGAACCGTCACAACTTTCGTCGAATTTCGTACAACCAGAGTTATCGCAGTTACAGTCTTATACACCCATGACTGACACTGGTTACCCTTCTGATCAATTCGGAATGCAAGGTCCCGTTCCAGTTTCAGAACCTCCACCTTACGATGGTTTGTATGCTCTTTTTCATTACAAGGACATATATTCATTGTAAAATAAAATAAAAATGAATGTATGGCTTCTTTTAAAATGTTTCTTTAATGTATTAATTAATTAATTAGATAACACGTGTTAATTTTTTTTTTTTTATTATAATAGAATTCACTGGTTATAATTGGGTACAGGTACCCGCGGAAATGGCTCCATTTTTTCCTTCTACACCAGATAATTTTGGTCAACATCCTCTTTTGTCTTCTTATGAAGAGGATTTCATATTTAAAGATTTTCTTCACAATATTCAAGAAGATCCTAATTTCATTTTTAATCCAATACTGCCGAGAGATATGCCCATATATCCTCCACCAGAGAATGGTATAAATAATTCCGTTCCTATGGATACTTCATCTGTGAACGAGATTTATAATCCTTCGCAAAGTCATCCTTCTGATATTTTGCCTCGTCATCAATTTCCTCCTTCAAAATCGACAAGTTTGTCCCCTCGTACAAAAAATATTACTCTTTCTCCAAAAAATTCTCCTCATCATGAATTTAGGCAATCTTCTTCACAATTAACTTCTCCAATTGATGATAAAGATAAATCAGTAGCTCCATCTGTACCTGCAAAACGTAAACAAGATAGTAAACAAGATGTTGAAGTGGAGCCTAGGCGCAGGCCGTCAAACCCTCCGTTAAGTCCAATAAATACTAAACTTGTTATGACTCAATCTCATAATTTAACTTCAAGTCCTAGGCCAATTTCTCCATCTATGCAATTATCTAATCTTTCCATTAATAGTGGAAATACGAATAGTAACTCTAATGAAAATGATAATGATAATGATGAAAGTCCTGGAAATACTCCTAGTAGTAGCAATAATGGCTCTCCATCACCAAGAACTCCTAATAGGGAATTAACAAAGAATGAAGATGAATCTGCTTCTTTAAATAATCTTATTGAAACTGAATCAAATGATAATGATAATACTGATGATTATGTTGAAATAAAATCTGAATCAAAACCTACCCCTCAAAAATCAAGTAGAAAACCTTATAAAGAACTCCTTACTGAAGAGGAGAAACGAGCGAATCATATCGCTTCAGAACAAAAACGAAGAAATACAATTCGTGCAGGTTTTAAAGAATTAACAGACATTATACCTACCCTTAAGAATGTTAATAATTCTAAGAGTACAATATTATTTAAAGCTGTGGATTATATTAAATATTTAGAAAGAAGAAATCGAAATTTAAAAGAACGTGCTGGTTTATTGGAAATGCGTGTTGAAATGGAAATGAGACAAGGAAAACGTTATCACCATCATGGTGGGTTTGGTCCTACAATGGGTTTTGGTCATCAACGAGTTGGTCCAATGCCAATGGGTCCTGCTTATGGTGTAATGCCTAATTCATTAAATGGAATGAATGGTATGCAAATTCCAATTGGCCAAGGTCATCCTCCACCACAGACACATGTAATTGCTCCACCAATGCAAAATATATATTTTGTTTCTACTGGGGCCGATAATCAACCTATGCCATCACAACAACAGATATTGTCTTCAGTAAATCCTACAAATAATATATTTAGAGGTATACCTATTCAACAACAACCTCAGCAGGTTAACAACGACAATAATAATAATGGTCTTGTTCCTGGAATGAACATTCCTGCAATGACAAGTGATGATGATCAAGAAGTAGTGATCATGGCCAATAGTGAAAAAATCTGCTAAAGATAATTTTCGGTTTAGTTGGTCTTTTTTTTTTTAAAAAAAAAAAAAAAAAATCGGTTGATAGATTTCTTATAATAATAATTTACGCATAAGCTTTTGATCATTACAAAAAAAAGGTTTTTTTTTTTTTTTTTGTATATTTATTGAGTCATATTTTTCTTGTGTAATATCAAAATATCATTAGAGTTATAGTGCGTAAGCGAATTATTCAAATAATGGATTAGATCGATGAGAAGTGATACAATATTTTAATTAGCATTAAAGCGTTTATTTTTTTAATTAGCACTATAAAACAAACCGTAATACGGTTTTACTAACAGAAATCTGGAACTCCCATTGGACTTTTAGATTTTCCAATATTCCAATAAAAAAAAAAATAATTTCATGAATTTTTATTTGTAATGCTTTAGTCCGCCTAAGATCACGGCATCACCAATATTTAAGATGTCATTTGATATTTGAGCCTCGCAAATTTTTTCTAATGGTGTTAAATATAAACAAGCTACAACATTTTTGGTTAGGCCAAATTGTATTATTATTATTGTCCTCAATCATAAAGTTTTAAACAAGCTGCACACTGATATAACTGAGCCACTTTTATAGTAAATTTTAATTAGAAAACAATATATATAATTGAAGGTGGTTGTTTGCATTAGAATTAAATTATAAATGATCAAATCCCCATTAATAAAATTATAAGGGTCTAATAGTGAATCTGTGTGATTCTGGGATCTTGACCTTCTGAATATTAAATATTCAAACAAGATTGTCCCACTAGTGGTAAAAAAAATCTAGTTGCCGCATACCACCTGAATTCTATCCAATTTACAAGATCAGAGAAAATAATTTGATTGACTAAAGACGTACGCGCGTACTGTACGCGAAGTTTTTGCAGATCACTAATACAACTGTATGTATGGATGTGTGTGCTCATTTAAAACCATAAAACACGCCAATCTAAGTAGACTTTATGCTCAACGTTGTCAATCGGACATCCAATTGGAATTGGAGAATTTATTGGAAATCACCGTTTCAAATTTTATACGTATTCATTAATTGGATCGTCGAGTTTTATATGAAGGCTAAATTTATATGAACAATAATAATTAATGGCCAATTGAAACTTTGAGACAAATTATTGTTAAGCAAGAGTAACAATCAATGAGTAAAGAATGTTTCTGCTAGAACTGCTTTGCAAATGAAAAAACTGGTCATGATATGCATAATTAGAATAGATGGTATCAATAATTTAGCCAATAAATCTTGGACACCATTATTATGAATGGAATCCTTCACGTGTCGGTGTCAAGTTTTATAGTTTTCTTTTTTTTATTATGAAAAGTTTATTTAGTTAGTCGTTATTACTCTATTAGACTTTCTTGTTTTTTTTGTTTTTTTTAAAGTTTCACAACTTTCGAAATTTATTACTGTTGGCATACATATATCCCCCAAAATAGTGCCTCGTGATAAGACCCGAGTATTATTCACCGCCAATCTAGCCTAATTCTTGAATAATTCACAGGAATACAGTATATCGATATTAATTTATTACTTTTCATATGACATATCCCCCAAATATAGTATCCGGGTACTATTCAATTTATTCAATTTCAGAATTTAAAAAAATGAATAAGATCCCGGTTACCATATGCAGATGTTTAGGTAATACGTATTATATCATTTTAAAAGTATATAACTATATATTGATATACAGTATAAGGGGGAGTAGGGTATTCTGGCGCACCTAAGCTGCGCTGCAAATTATATCTTTAAAAATTATTATTTATTTCTAAAACTTCTTAAACAAACTACTTAAA